AACGTCGTCACCCATTGGGGCTGGCATAGAGGAGAGGAAGGGACAGCGATCCCAATGTCTCCCCCTTCAGCAGGAGGAGGGACGTGATCATTCCCCTTTATTCGACATTGGTGAGGCCTCATCTGGAGTACTGTGACAAGTTTTGGGCTCCACACTACAAGAAGGATGTGGAAAAATTGGAAAGAGTCGAGCAGAGGGCAACAAAATTGATTAGGGGGCTGGAGCACATGACTTATGAAGAGAGGCTGAGGGAACTGGGATTGTTTAGTCTGCAGAAGAGAAGAATGACAGGGGATTTGATAGCTGCTTTCAACTACCTGAAAGGGGGTTCCAAAGAGGATGGATCTAGACTGTTCTCAGTGGTAACAGATGACAGAACAAGGAGTAATGGTCTCAAGTTGCAGTGGGGGAGGTTTAGGTTGGATATTAGGAAAAACTTTTTCACTAGGAGGGTGGTGAAGCACTGGAATGGGTTACTAGGGAGGTGGTGGAATCTCCTTCCTTAGAGGTTTTTAAGGCCCGGCTTGACAAAGCCCTGGCTAGGATGATTTAGTTGGGGATTGGTCCTGCTTTGAGCAGGGGGTTGGACTAGATGACCTCCTGAGGTCCCTTCCAACCCTGATATTCTATGATTCTATGAGAGGGAGAGGGGCCTGGCCAAGGTGACCCACAGCTGGTGCACCTGAGAGGGCGCAGGGAGCCCCCCGAGCCCAGCTCCATGTCACGGGTCAGCTGGCATAATGAATGGGGTGGAGTCCAAGGCGTTGGGGCTGGCTGGAGACCAGGGGGGTCTGCAGCCATGGAGCATAAGTGTCGTTTCCCCCACCCCCCCAACGATGGGCAGGCTGGGGTCCCGATGGTCCATTCCCTCCGGATGCCTCCAGTGAGAGCAGAGCTGGGCTCTCACCACAAAGCGCAGGGTGTGGGGGTTGGGGAGCGGGGCTGGGGGGCCCGGGGCTGTGGATCCCCAGGGAGCTGCGGCTGGTGGCGGGGTTGAACAGCCCCACCCTGCCGGAGCGGTGCCAGGTGCTGGGCACAGGGCGCTACCTGGGGGCGCAGTAGGGTCCGAGGCTTGGATGCCATTGGTGCGACACCAAGCAGGGGGTGGGGCCAGCATGCAGGGGGCAGGGCTCTCTTACCATTTGTGGTATTTGCAGGTGAGCGCTCCATTGACAAGCTCACTGATGGAGCCAGCCTCGCTGAGGTCATCGAGGAGGATGACCAATGGCACGTCCCCGATGCCCGTCTCCCGGTCGATCTGATTGGCCAGGTTGGAGAGGTACAGCTGTAGGTCCTGGAATGGAACAGTGGGACTGAATCACCCATCACAGCAGGGAGTGAGGGGTTTCAGGAGCGTGGGTGTCAACGGAGCAGCGTGGGGTGAGCTCAGGGCTGGGATAGTGGGGGGCTCTGGGTCGGGACTGAGGGGCACCAGGTCCCGGGGCTAGGCTAGCAGGGGGCTGTGGGTCGGGTCTGAGGGGCACCGGCAGAGCTTGGGTGGGGAGCCTGGGGCTGGGACAGCAGGGGGCTGTGGGTTGGGTCTGAGGGGCACCGGCAGAGCTGGGGGGGATCCTGGAGTTGGGACAGCAGGGGGCTGTGGGTCGGGTTTGAGGGGCACCGGGCAGAGCTTGGGGGGCAGCCTGGGGCTGGGACAGCAGGGGGCTGTGGGTTGGGTCTGAGGGGCACCGGCAGAGTTGCGGTGGGGGGATCCCGGGGCTGAGAAAGCAGGGTCTGGAGATCTCAGGCTCTCCTGGGGTTAGTGCGGAGCGGGATCCAGGTCCCAACCATCACGGAGCCCTTCACCTTGCACGACTGCTGGTGCATGTTGAAGGTGTTGACGATGCCCTCGGTGACCTCCCGGCCCGAGCGCTCCACCAGGTACTCGGCCAGCCGGTTGGTCAGGTAGGTCTTGCCCGTGCCGCTGGGCCCTGAGAGGATGAGGCGCCGGTGCTTGAGCAGGAGGCTGATGTAATGCTGCATCATGGGCTTGGGGATGAGCGTCTCGAACACCAGGCTGTCCACGCACTTCTCCTTCAGGCCTGTCGGGGGCAGGGGGCGTTAGAGCGACCGCTGGGGGCTTTGCAATGGGGCCCACCCCCAGCTCGACCTGAGCTGGACTCTGCCCCTGCAGCACAGGCCCAAGGGACCGGGGGGGGGGGCGGGGCGGGAAGCCGGGGGGGAGCTGCCTGAGTGAGACCCCAAGGCCCCCTCCCCTTCAGGGCACAGCCTGCAGGGCCCCCTTCCCCTGGCAGATCCCCCAGCTGCCTCCCGTCCATGGTGCAAGGAGCCCTACTGTGGGCCAGGCCAGCCCTTCCCCACCCGGCTCCTGGTGCCCAACCCACGGGAGTGGCAGGGCCTGCTACTGGGGGAAGAGAGTGGGCCCGGTGCCCCCAGCTGGCCCCTGGGCTCCCTCCCCTTCCCTCCCCAGATCCTTAGCTGTGGTCCCTTGGTGCTAAGGGGGTGGGAAGCACTGGACACACGGTGCTCCACAAGGCTAACGCCAGACCCCCCAGCCCAGTACTGGCCTTTCAGCACCACGGCAATGCTGGTCACGCCCCTCCGGCAGGGGGGCAGCTCCGGGGGCTCCGTGTCCAGGACCCTCTTCACGTGGCTGATGCTGTAGCCGTGCACGGACTCGGTGCTCAGCCCCAGCGTGGAGGCGGGGTCCATCTTGGTGACGTAGTCCTGGGCAGAGAGGGGCAGTGCCGGTGCTCAGCTTCCCTGGCTCCTGGCTGGTGCCCCTCAATCCTGACCTACCGGCCCCTGTCATTCCAGCCTTGCACTCCCCCCCGCCAGCCCAACCAGACATGGCCCCACCCTGCAGCTCTAGGTCCCTGTCGGGCACTGGACAGGTCCCACCAAGGGGAGGGAGGTGCAGGGCTGCTGGGGGACCTGGGCTGGCCTCATGCAGCTCTCACAATAAGCTGGGTGTCACTGGCCAGGGTTAAGCTAGGAGACACGGAGGGGCCGGGGCACCAGCAGTGCCAGGGAGGGGCCTTCCAACGTCAGCTGAGAATGCCACTCGAGAGAGAGGTCCACATCGACTGGATGGGCAGAACGGTCCCTTCTGGGCCGGACATCTAGGAATCCCCATGGGAGGTGAAGCATGCCAAGGTCCAACACGTGCGGAGATCGGCTCCCCTTCTCCCTGCTTCCACCCATCCAGCACAGGCATTTAGCCAAGTGTCTCCCCTCTTCTCTGGCTAGGAGCAGCGAGAGCAGAGCCGTGCCCTGCTCCGAACCAGGGCAGGGCCCAAAGCCCAGTTCCCTAGCACCGCAAACCTCTCGAACCCTGGGAGTTTGGAGGGTCTGTTAGCGTCTGTACCTTGAACACTTGGCAGACGGCTTCATCCAGCGTCTTCCAATCCACCTTCCCGCTCACTTTGCTGCAGCCCAGGAAGAATTCCTGCTGCTTTAAGTCCTGAAAGGCAAAGGCAAAGGCATGAGTATAGCTGGGTCGTCCCAGCTGGCCCCAGCCCTGCTAGCCATGGGCCATCCTGCCGCGAGCCATCCACGCGCCCCAACTGGGTCATGTGCTTGCCCTGGCCCGGCAGCGCCCCCGGGGTCCTTACCCCTTTGATGATGTGCTGGGGCGGCATGCGCACCACGATCCGCAGCGTCACCTCATCCTTCTGGGCCCCCACGGCGTCCATCGGCGACAGGTCTGGGGAGGGAGCAGCAGTCAGCCCTGCTTGCCTGCTGCGGGGAGTGTGGCTTCCTGCAGCAGGCAACAGCCGTCCCCCGACAGCCCTGTGAGCCAGGGCCTGACCCATAGCTTGCTCCGGCTCCCAGTGTCTGCAACGAGGCAGGGTCACGACCCTCACCCCAGCGCCCTGGGGTGGACCCTTGGATCTGGCTCCAAGGGCAGGAGGTCCCAGCTCCTTTGGGGCTGCCAGGGGTCAGGATTTCCCTGCACATCAGCCCTTCGCCTGCCCCTGCATCCACTGTGTGGCTCCTCCCAGGCTCTGTGGGGCACGGACTGACCCCAGCCCGCAGCAGAGCCCATGGTAGAGAGGCAGCCAGACATCTGCCCCGGAGCGGGTTGCGGCTTCGTGCTGTGGTCAGCGGTGCCCACTCGCTGCACAGAGGACCCACCCCAATGCATCCCGCTCTCCCTGGTACCTGTATCTGCCAAGCCAGGGCTGAAGGACTGAGCGAGGGCGAGGCCCAGTGAGCGCCGTGGGGACGAGGAGGCTGACGTGCTTCTGAGGTGCCCGGGGATGGAGCCCGGGACCGACGAAGGCCCTGGGACCACCTTGAGCCGGTCGTTCTCAGCCTTCAGGAGATCCACCTCCAGCTATGGAGAAGGCAGGGGTTACAGAACAGAGCCTGTGGCCATGGACCCAGATCAGGAACCCTCCAGCTCTGCCAGCACAGGGAAAACAGATGCTGGGCTGCTCCGGCAGGGCTCTCAGCCCCCCCCCGTGCAGTGCAGTCACTGAGCCCCGATGCCACAAGACCAGAGTGTGGCCCCACGAGCTGGACTGTGTGCTCAAAGCACATGCCCCCATAGCAGACCAGGGGTGGTGCCTGGCCCCACCTAGCCGTGCGCCCCACCAGGGAGAGGGCTGGAAATGGCCGGAAGAGGCAGGCCAGGGGAGCAGCCCAGGGTCGATGAGCCAGGCACACTCTGCGGTGGGTCTGTGGCTCCCCACGCAGGGACGGGGCCCTCACCTGCATATTGTGCATGGTCTCACGGAGCTGGTCCAGCTGGTGGGCTGAGTTCAGAGCCTCCAGCCGGATGTCGGTCAGTTTCATTTCCTTCTCCCATAGCTCTGAGCGCAGTTCCGACACCTCCTTCTTCTCCGGCTCTTCCTCCTCCTCGTTGGCCTGGAAGAGCCTGCACCGGGGAAAAGACACCCGCAGGGTGGCCAGTGACAACATGTTCTGCTAGGGGGTGCTGAAGCGAGGTGTGACCCCAATTTCCACCCAGAGGCCGCTGCTGGGTCTGAGCGATGCTTTCAGAGGAGGCCGAGCAGCAGCCGGATTGGGGTGGGGGGAGGGAAGGTCGTCACAGGGCCCAGGCAATGCCGATGCCCCGATGGCTTCCTGTGCCCACGTGGCGGCAGGACCAGCGAGCACTAGGGAAGCAAACAATGCCAGCCAAGCTGCTTCATCCACCCCCATCCACAGCGATCTAGCCAGAGCATCAGTGCTGAGGACAATGACTCCACCAGGCCAGCGTCAGTGCTGGGTTCCAGAGGGGAGAAAAGGGCCCGGGTGCCCCCCACCATGGCCTGGGGCCTGAGCAGCTGGCACAGGAATCCGAGTGTATGGGCCAGGCTCCCAGCTGGACTCCATGCAGCGTCACTGGGTTACACCAGCTGGGGATCTGGCTCTGCGCCAACCACAGGGCGAGGGCTGCCCTTACTCAGTGGCATCGATGCCCACGGAGGAGGAGTTGGAGGACTTGATGGAGGGCGAGGCGGTCTCAGTGGAGCCGTGCTGCAGCTTGGGAGAGGACGGGGCTGAGGAGTCAGGGGTGGCGATTTCCTCGATGTCCGAGTAGGAGGAGGCCGACTTTGGGCCCTTCTTGATGCTGAAGGCCTTGTTGAACGAGCTCCGGAGCTGCAGGAGACAAGGACGACACCCGGAAAGGTTAAACCGCAGATCACCGCAGTTGTGACACCAGACACTTCCCCCAGCCATCTCCCATCCTCACCCCGGCTCTGGCCAGCGGGTGATGAACTCCAGGGTCGCTCGGCAGGGAGAGATTTATCTTGGGTTCCTCCTGGGGGATTCCAGCTCCCCCAGCCCTTCCACTGCTGCACTAGCCCCGTGGGGGAACCCACAGAGGGTGGGTGGATCTCCCATGATCACAAATGCACGTGCCCCGTGTGCCCTTCCCCCCCCCCCAACCCTCCCCGCCCCGCTTGCAAGAGCGGCATCCCGCTGGGTGGTGGCTGAGTCAGAGGAGCTAGCCCTGCGGGAGACCGACCAGGATGTCTGGTGCATCTCCTTGCCTGGGCAGAAGGAAAGAGCCGCTCCGCCTTGCACATCGCCCAGCCCCAGCCAGGGGTCAGCGCCTCTTACGTCCTGCCTGGCTGCCTCCTTTGGCTACTCAGCCACCCCACGGGGAGAGGGATGCTACCCATAAGAAAGGGGCCAACTGTAAATATTGGGGTCCCTCCAGACCTAAGTGGGGATGGGGACCCTGCATGGCAGAGTGCCCCCCACCCTCTGACCTCCATCCCTGTTGCCCTCACTTGCTGCCCAATGCTTAGGGCCCAGATCCTCAAATCCCAGATCCACCGAGGGCCGCGCAGGACGAAGCTGCCTTCAGCACAGTCAGAGGGACCCAGCTACGTAAGTTCAGCTACACAAGTTCCAGGCCCATCGGCATTCCGCTGGGCCCCAGGTCAGCCCAGCGCTCCCGGGAAGGAGAATTGGCCTCCCTGAATAAATCCTCCAATGGCGATGGAGGGCAGCCAGGAACCCCCACCCCCATGGGCAGGCTCCACCGTTCCTGCAGCTCTCAGGCACTCTTCCCCTTTTCCGGAATCCAGAGGTGCGGCCGAGCAAGCAGCAGCAGAGGCAAGCGCTCTCCGAGCCTGGCTGAGCCAGCAAGGCAGTGCCCAGTGCTGCAGGCACATCCATGTTACACTCCAGGGACAAGATCACATGGAGCCATGGGCAGGTCCCATCACTGCCCCCTGGCAGCACACACAGAATATGTCCCCCGTGAGGCGGCTCACGGGCATCCACACACAACCCCTTGGCACCCCAGGCCAGCGTGACAGTGGCAGGGCCACTCATGCCATGCCAGCTCCACTGTAGCAGGAGGTGCCCTGGGGCACATCCAGCCCTGCCAGGATTCTGCGGGACTCAGGCCAAGGTCTTCCCTGGTCGGACTCCCCTGCTGTCATCTAACCCTCGTTTGAAACGACCCTGAAAGGGGACTGCAATATGAGCGAGGCATGTGATCCAAGCCCACTATCCCGTGCTCCCCTGCTTTGGCAGGGGAGCACGGGATAGTGGGGAGAGTGGTGGCTTGAGTGACAGCACTTGGGGTTTCTCTTCCAGCGCTGCTTTGCTGGGGAGGGGCTGGTTCCACCGTTCAGCCCTATGGGAGGGCACAGCGGGACTGTTACTTCTCCAGCTGCTCTGTCTGGGTCGGGGCTGGTTCAGCTCAAAGCAGCTGTAACCGGTTGCCCTGCGCAGGACTCCTGGGACAGGAATTGCCAACATCCAGGGGCACAGAAGACAGAGATCAGCCTCAGGTCTCTGATACGGGATACCCAGTCCTAGTGTTCTCTGGGAAACTCCTTACCGTCTCTCCAGCCAATCACCAGCCCCAATTCTAGGCCCGCAGAAGATGATTGGCTGGCAAGGGATTCTATTTGAATGGGATGGCACCGGGGGAATATTCCACTGCATGCAGCTAGGGGACAGCCTGGCAGAGGAACATCCCGTTCTGGTGGGCGTGGGACGTCCCATTCCCCTAAAGCCCAGCTTGGCTATACCATGAAAGGCAGCGGGCGTGAGGCAGGGAGAGCACAGTCCCTGTCTCTGGGGGCTTGAGTCTGTTCTGCCAGGCCAGGCATAGCTGGTGGGAAGCTACGGTATGGGGGAAAAGCACCACAGATGCCAAATCACGGTGCTAGCGCATGGTGGCTGGGGCCCCGTGTGGTGCTACAGAACATCTCCGTGGCTCTGATCACAGAGGAGCCTGGCTCATGATATGAGGGAGAAGGCCATGCCCACGCAGCTGTCCGTTCTGGTGCCTGATGCCCCCGTTCTGCAAGGCTCACGCCCACCCCCCTGAATTCAATGGAACTGCTCCTGCCAGTGCAAGGAACCCAACCCAAGGGCGGGGAATCCAGCCCCAAAAGGCTCACCGGACTCTGAGGGCTCTGACAGGGGACACTGCTCGTGTCCAGCCCTGCATGAGCCTTCCCCAGCAAGGAGGATGGCAGGGTTGCTAACACGTGATGGGCCTGGCGGCCCAGACTCCTGCTCGATCCGCACCCCAGATGGAGCATGCAGCATGCATACACGCACACACCGGGGGCACAGAACATAGACACCGACTGACAGGACGGCTCGGGGGGCGCCAGATGCTGCGATGGGCGGAGGGGACTCTGAAATGGGGGTGTCGCCTGCCTCATTCGTGGTCCCACACCAACCCCGGATCACTCGAGGAGGCTGCTCCCCTTTAGCGCTCATCCTGCAGGGTGAGCAGTTTTCACATCGACTGCAGGATGCCAACTGGCCCTTGTGGATCGCAGGGGGCGTCACCAGATGCAATGTCACAGGATTGGCAATCCGTGCATTGCCCTTTCCTTACCCTGGCCTTGTAGCATGGCTGACAGACTCGTACAGACCAGGCCTTTCCTGGGAAGTTAAGGCCCTGTTCTGCTCCCACTGGAGCCAATGCAAAGCTGGGTTCAAAGAGGGCAGGACTGGGCCTTGGGGATGGGCATCAGCCTGTTGGCCAGTGGGCTAGGCCTGGTGGGCAGAGCTGGCTGGACAGTATGGTTGGGAGAGAGGGCTCCCTGCTGTAAATATTGCATTTTCAATGGGGAAAAAAAACGTCAGAAATCAGGAACTGAAATAGTTTGATTCTGAAATGCTGCCACAGTGCTACATGGGAGTTGTAGTTCGGTTGCCTCATGCTCCTGTCCTCCTTCATGGGCTAGAATCCCCAGTCAGATTACAACTCCCATGATGCATGGTCTCCTCTGTGGACAGGAGAGGCTGTGCGTTATGGCAATCGTATGGCCGCAGTGCATCATGGGAGATGTGGTTCGATTGGGGAGGTTGTGTGTCCCTGAAATACAATGGGGTCTTTCACAGGATTGCGGAGTTGGCCTTTGCCAACAGATTTTCATATTAAAATATATCTGGTCATGCTGCGCATTTCAGAGGGGAAGGAGGGCGACCCAGCTCCCTCCAAGGATGGACACCGCCATCTCTGGAGCCAGTCAGCCCACTGAGAGGAACTGGGGTGCCCTGGGGGATCCAGTGCTACCTTAGGGCCCGAGCCTCCATAAATCAGTGCCTAAGGGCTGAAGGACATTCGGCCACCATCTACTCGGAGCACGTGGCATTGCCGGACACCTTCACCAGAGAGGGGCAGTGACCTGGGTCAGTGGCAGAGTCAGGCTAGACCCAAATCTCCTGACTCTCAAATTCCACCCCCTCCAAGCACCAGAGGATGCTGCCTTTGGAGCTGAGTAAACAAAGGAGCTTAGAGAACTTTGCCCTCTTGTCCGATTTGGTTTCAGCAGATTTGGGATGGGAGTGGGGACGTTGGCGACCCAGGAGCAAGGCTGAGGAAGGGGTCTCAATCGGCTTGGCTGAAGATGCTGACGAGAACTTTTGGGGAGAGAGAACTTAGCCAGG